AGCAGTGGCCCCAAAACAGATCCTTGAGGTACACCACTAGTAACTGAGATCCTTGAGGTACACCACTAGTAACTGAGATCCTTGAGGTACACCACTAGTAACTGAAATGTTTGTGATTTCAAACAAACCTCTTGGACCAAAACTCCGTGTCGAATGACTTCTGACATTGTCCATCCCAGTCCAACACCAGCACCTCCACATCATAACTAATATCACTGGAACGGTTCAAGGTAGGAAGGAAAGGATGGAAGGATAGAATGGCAGGTAACCAATGGAGGGTAAACACAGAAGTTGCTGGAAAAGCTCAGCAGGTCTGGCAGCATCTGTGAGGAGAAGTCAGAATTAACGTTTCGGGTCCAGTGATCCTTCCTCAACTCTGATTTCTCCTCACAGATGCTGGTAGACCTGCTGAGCTTTTCCGGCGACTTCAGTTTTGTTTCTGATTTACAGCATCCGCAGTTTTTTTTGGTTTTTAACTGATTGAAGGTGTTAATTGTGGCTCAGTGGGTGATACACAAAAAGCTGGATGGTTGTGGATTCATGTTCCTTTCAGGATCTAGGCAGACGCTCCGATGTATTGTTGAGGAAGTCCTGCACTTCAAATGAGACATCAGATTGAAGCTTTGAGTGTCCTTTCAAGTGTAAGTAATAAAAAAAATCCCTTCTTGTCACTACTGAGAGCTCTTCTTTATCAGTTTACAGTTAGAGGTGGATTATAACCACTCGTGTTGCTTTGCTGAATTCGGTGGACAGTTTTGCTTTAATAAGCCTGGTTACGATAGCAATTTACTGAGACCAGCCCAGTCTTGTGACTTAGGATGGAGGGTTTTCTGTCAATACTGCAGAAATTCCAGCAGCCTACAATAGATCAAAACCCTGATTATATCACAATTCTAAGATTAGATTTGACTGTTCACGTCACCAAGAACTGTAGAGCATTTTAACAGTAAACAGCCATGTACAACACCCATCCTGTTTGAAAAGGTCACTGTCCTGTTGCCAACACTGGCGTTAGCCTGGACTGCTAGTCGGGAAATAGGCATTAAGTTAGCATAGCTGCCTGGAAGCTTACTGCACAAGCTGAAGAGAGATAAAAAGTAGAAAAAGTTATGTTGCAGTTGTATTGAACCCTGGGCAGAACACACATGGAGTACTGTGCTCAGTTCTTACCCATATTAGAGAAAGGATACTGAAAAACACTGAAAACATGCAGGAAAAAGTTGCAAGGGCATTGCTAGAATTGACAGAGAGAGTCATAGGTAAGTTTGAACAGATGAGGTTCTTTCCTTTAGAATGAAGAAGTCGAATGGGACCTGACTGACTTACTGTACAAACAGCCAACATGGACTTGATGGGTCCAATGGCCTCCTGCTATGCCACGATGTCTCAACGACTCCATGTGGCCTTTTTATTCAATAACAGGATGTGGGCTTCACTGTTCAAGCCAGCATTTATTATCCATCCCTATGTGCCCAGAGGGTAGTCAAGAGTTGATCACATTGCTGTGCATCTGGAATCACATGCAGGTAAGGACAGCATTTTCCTTCCTTAAAGGATGAGTTTTTCCAACAATTAACAATGGTCAACATTAGACTCTTAATTCAATTACTGAACTCAAATTGCACCATCTGCCACAACAGGAATCAAATCCTGATCCCTAGAACATTTGATTTGATTCATTATAGTCACTTGTTCCTAAGTACAGGGAACAGCTTTGTTTTGCAAGCAGTACAGGAAGATCATAGAAAGCAAGGACATACAGATCATAGACAGAGCGAGGCATACAGGTTTTACCACATAAGACATGCTCAAAGCAAGATTAACATTATTTGAAGTTACAGAAGTCCATCCAGTGGGCTAATAACAGCAGGGAAGAAACTGTTCTTGAACCTGTTGGTGCATGTGTTCAAGCTTCTGGAATCTTCTGCCTGATGGAAGAGTGCATTACCAAGGTGGGAGCCGTTTTATGATGTTGGCAGCCTTTCTGCGGCAACGAAAGTGTAAATGGAGTCCATGGATGGGAGGTTGGCTCCTGTGATAGTCTGGACTGTGCACACCACCTTCTGTAATTTCTTATCGTCCTGGACAGAGCAGTTGCCATACCGGGCTGTTATGCACCCGGACAATATGCTTTCTACGGTGCATCTGTAAAAGTTGGTGAGTGTCTTTACAGACATGCCAGATTTCCTAAGCCGCCTGGGAAACAGGAAGCGTTGCTGTGGCTTCTTGACCATCACATCTATGTGGGAAGTCCAGGATAGTTTGTCGGTTATCGTCACTCCTAGGAACCTGATGCTCCCAATCCTCTTAACCTCCGCTCCATTGATGCAAATGAGAGTGTGTCCTCCTTTCTTCTTGAAGTCAATGAACAGTTCTTTAGTTTTGCCAACATTGACAGAGAGGTTGTTATCATTGCACCATGACACCAAGCCATCTATCTCCTTCCTATATTCTGACTAATAGCTGTTTGATATCCATCCTACCACAGTGGTGTCACAGCAGACTTGTAGATGGCGTTTGTTTGGAATTTGGCTACACAGTCATGGGTACACAGAGTACAGTAGGGGGGGCTGAGAATGCATCCTTGGGGGACTCCAGCGTTGAGGTTTATCATGAAGGATATCTTCACTGACTGTGGTCTGTGGGTCAGGGAGCCAAGGATCCAATTGCAGAGGGCAGAGCCGAGACCTAGGTCTTGGAGTTTTGAGATTAGTCTGGAGGGGATTTATGGCGTTGAAGGCGGAGCGGTTGTCGATGAGTAGGAGCCTGATGCAGATATCCTTGTTGTCCAGATGTTCCAGGGATGAGTGTAGGGCCAGGGAAATGGTGTCTGCTGTGGACCTGTTTCGCCAGTCGGCAAATTGCAGGGGATCAAGGCAGGCTGCCAGGCTAGCATTGGTGTGGGCCATGACCAGCCTCTTGAAGCACTTCATGAATCTGATGGTCAGAGCCACTGGATGGTAGTGATTAATGTACATTGCATGTGCTTTCTCTGGTACTGGGATGATGGTGGTCTTCTTGAAGCAGGTGGGGACTTCAGCTTTTGGAGGGAGAGGTTGAAGATGTCGGTGAATACCTCCACCACACAGGATACGAGTGCATGACTGGGGCCTCCATCTGGGCCATTACCTGAGTCTCTGGATTAATTGTCTAGTGATAATACCATTCAGTCATCACCTCTCTCCGACAGGAATCTTTAAAATTATACTGGAATTTGTTTGGCTAGATGTAGATAGAAAATTTATACTGATTAATTTATTGTTGTCACATGTAATGTTTTCACTCATGGGAGACAAAACCAGGGACAATAAATAAGACAGGCACAGGTAAGCTACAGGGTGGTCAGAGCATGGAACTCACTCCTCACTGAGTGGTTGAAGTGAGCATTAGATTCATTTAAGGGAAATACAGACATGTACAAGGGAGAAAAAGAGATGGAAGGGTATGACCAGGTAAGGTGCAGGAGTTTGACAGGAAGCTCGTGTGGTAAATAGACATTTGCACAGATCAGATTCCGTACTGTACAGCCCATGTACGTTACTTTTAGTTTTATCATTAAGGTTCCAAATGATTTAGCCTCCGCCACCTCTGCTGATTGATACTGTGTTGGCAAACCACTCACTGATCGTCACTTAGTCCCCTGGGAGGGGCAAAGCAATACCAGAGACATGACTTTCTCTGCAATTATTCCTTTTTCTTTCCTTAGGGGATGGGGGCTCCCAGTGACCAATTGGCCACTCTCCAGTTTGTTGGTGTTAGGATCATGCTTCAGGGTGTTTGAATGGTCAGTCTATTATTCTCTTATGTACTCTTGATGCATGGGCATTTCATATGCAGA